GAGCCGCTGCCGCTGGACACAGCGAGCGGAAAACCGAGAAGGTTGGGCAGCTGAGGCGGGCAGTGGTTTCGGTTTATTCAGTTATCCTCGGCCCGGTGCGCTTTTTTTGTCCCTTTCAACAGCTGGTCTGTTTTTCCAGAAACGGGACTGGGTGGCTCATTTCCAGGTGTTCTCTGCTTTGCGTTCCCTCTCCTCCGTGCCATGGGCTCCTCCCGGGGGTCGCCGGCCATCCCCGGGGGGCCGCGCTGGCCCCACCGCCCTCACCGGCACCGAGCAGAGCTCTGGAGCCAGGGGCGAGCGGAGCGGGGCGGGGAGGGATGGGGTGTCCGCTGCAAGTCCCCGGTAGGGTTGCATCAAGAGGCTTTGGTTTTAATATGGCAATAATTTTGTTATGACCAAATTTGTTTCAATTTCGAAATCCCAGAAAGAGGAGCTGCCTTTGGTTGCTACGATTGCTAAGATTATTTACCTCTTTACAGTTCCTCATAAGGAGAAAAACTTTAGAGAATCAGTAGGTATGGCTTTGCTTGCACCGACTGATTTTTTTTTTTGAGTTTTCCTGAGTTAAATAGTACAAAAAGCAATGAAGCCCCACATATCTTCAGCATCCTGTCCAGCATGAGAATATTTGCGATGTGTTAGGTTCCCTAGGCCTCACTTGCTTTTGTAGTCATTTCCATCTAGCTCTGGCGTTCTGGCTTGTCATACACACAGAGAGGACTTCACAATGTGTGAGACAAAAGAGGCTTTTTTCTCACAAAGAGTTAAAAGTTGCTTGAGACTGTAACGCCTGAGCCAGGGCTTGCAATGACAAGATGCCATCCCCTGAGGGCCCTAAACTGGGTACCATCGGTTAGGGCATGGCTAAGTCATGGGGAGGGTTTGGGGCTTGAGGGGAAATGGGGAAGGAGGGTGTCATGGGGCATTTCTTGAAGCAAATGCTGCAAGTACATAGATTTTTTTTTTTTTTTAACCCAATGACAGCTGTTGGAGCGCCCATGGGAGATGAGTTAGTTGGCTGGAGTACCGGGTGCCCCCATGGCAGGAATTGCTGTCATGTTTCGCTCCCGGTGGCAGTCCAGCAGGCAGAAGATAGATCAGGTTTCCTCACCCTTTACCTCCAAGCAGAGGCATCTCTCCAGCTCAGTCAGGGGTGCTGACAGAAGAGTAGATGGAAATTGGCATTGCTATAAATATGTTGCTGATAGAGGAATTTGGTTTCTGTTAGTATCAATCCCATATCAATCATCTCAAACACAAAGCCTGTTTAAAAAGAAGAGCATCTGAAGTGCACACTGTGACTGAACTGGGATCTCTGCGGAGTCCCTTGTTAAACTCCTTCTCCATAAGACAATCAGACTGTTCTTTCGTGGTTGGCTGTTGGTTTGAAAAAGTTTCTAAGCTCAGCCATGCAAAACTATATCTGTTTGAAGCAGAAGCTCGGTCCTGCCCATAAAATATATAGTGTGTGTCTTCATCTGAATTCTAAGTATATTGCCCCCTCCCCCCCCCCAGCCTTCCTTACTAATAGCAAACAAACCTCCCACCAAAAGACAAAAGGGTATTTTGCCTCAGGAAGAGCTGCAGAATCAGATCCTGGAAGTTTTTTTCCGTAGCAGCTCTGACTGCCTAAATACCAGAATTCCTGTGCTGTTAACTGAACCGTGGTGTGTTTCTCTCGCTCAGATGTAAAATTGCCTACTTACATGTACCTCCCCTACTGAAGTTTTATCCTCTATGGAATGCATTTCCTGAATTTAGACAAATTTAATTATTCTTGATCAAATTAAATTGCGTGTTCTACTTGTTAAGGAGAGAAATTTATGCCTGCTCATGCACCTCCCTACTGTGATAAAATGCTTGCACCTAATTCAATGTCTGCTAATGACAGGCCATTTATACATTAATTCAAATATACAAAGGATGACTTAGGCTTAGGGAAAATACAAGAAATATATTTACAGATGTCATTGGTTTAAATATTTATGTGTATGCAGTTTTCATTTGAGTTTGATGTTTATTCTGCTTACCTGCTTTGATTATGTTAAGTGTATTAATTTTGAGCTACAATTCCTATTGACTTCAAATTTAGATAAAGAGTGATTTAGACATTCGGAATTTTTCCCTTTGCAAAGATTTTCTGTCCAGTAAATGCCTGTAAAAACTTAATCTGGAGAGAACTGTCTGAATCTGTGAACAGGTTTTTCAAGAGGACTTCATAAAAGTAAAGAAATAGGAAGCAGGGCATTACACTGACTCTGGGGTGGTATTTCGTAGTTGGTGGGGTCACTACTGAGATTTTTGTACAGTCACTCAGTATGTAGGACGAAACGCTATGAGTCTAGAATGTGGTTGGATAAATGAAGTGGTTGTGTGTGAATTAATCTCCACTGAATGTTTACAGACGTTTGCCAAATGTGCCTGTGAGCACCGAGTCCTGCTGGAGCAGGTTCCATTCAGTGGAGGATGACCTTGTTACTCTGGTAGCAGTGATTTGTTTCTGCATCTAA